CAGGAGCCTGATTTCGGAGACTGAATTATTGCCTAGAATGTGGAGAGTGTCATGCATTCATAGTGGGTTGTTTAGGCCTGCCTTCTTGTTTTCTTTCTTTTGTTTAGCATTTTCAGTTCTTTACCTTACTTAGGGGAACTCTGGTGGTGTAATACCTAAGGCATTTGACTGCCAATCAAAAGGCTGGCAGTTCAAACCTACCAACCTCTCCTTGGAAGGAAGACTGGGCAATCTATTTCCATAGAGATACCGCCTCGGAAACCCAAGGAGGGGTCGCTATGACTCGAAATGATCTTGGTGGCAGTGAGTTTGAGTTTACCTTACTTACACTCCTATATTTAGGTATTTTAAAATCTGCCCCCTAAAGAAAAAGAAAATCTTTGTCTAATATTTATCTTCCGCTTAGTTTTCATTTTCTTTCCTTCCTTTCCCTGTTACTTGTTTTCTGTATTCAATCTCATGTCCCATTCTTACCATAAGACCTGCAGTCAGATTTCAAAATCCATATGCCTTAGAACAAATAAATAATTTCAGAATCACCACTTCTTTCCGGTAATATTTGTGCTTCTGTCTTAGTACTAAGCTCACCATTGCTAATATCTGCCCATTTTGATTTGAGTGGAAAACAATCACTCATTCTTATTCTTTTTCCTTGAGTACTTTTTCCCATCTTACTCGTTTATCTTCCTTTTTTGAAGCAATAAATATTGGTGAAATAAATGAATTTTATTCCAGTAGATTCTCATTGGTGTTTTTCTGATGTCTTTCCTCAGTTCTTTATAAAAATCTAACAAGCTATAGTAATCCAATCCATTTTCCAGTTGATTTAATAATAATAAAAGATATTATTAGTATATGAATTTTAAATCCTTACATTTTCAAGGGTTAATGGGTTAATATCCCACCTGGTCATTTAAATGTATTTCTGTGGCAGAGAACTTGCTAATCTCTATTTATTCTAGTTTCCTACAATACATCATACAGCTGGTTCTGTTCTTACACTGCAGCTCTCATTATATCACAGATGCTGTATGGGAGCTCTGGTAGCATAGTGCCTAAGGCACTTGACTGGTTTGAACCACCAGCCACTCCTCGGAAGAAAGGTTGGGCAATCTACTTCCATAGCAATACCACCTCGGAAACCCAAGGAGGGGTCGCTATGAATTGGGGCCCACTTGATGGCATGTAACAACAACAACATATATCCATCATCAATGTTAACATATCCTTTAAGGATCAAGTTTCACTTCCACCATGAAATGTTCCTTGATTACAGACCATGTCTATCCGTTCTTCTGTGTTCCCATTCTACCTAATGTCTATAACATGTGAGCAAATACATTGTCAGATATAATCTAATAATTTGATACCTGATTCAACATTGTTTTATCTGAGGCTTATTTCCTCATCTCGATAATCCCCTCCAAAGTGAGGTCCTCGCTTTTACCCAGGGCATTGAACCAGTTTTCCCTAGTTCCTTCATAGCCAATGAAATGGAATCAGAATGGACCTGAATTTGTAAAATATGAGTTAACCAGAACAATAGCCAGAACAGCAAAAATTACAAGTAAGTGCCCTGTAGAAACCTAACTACCTCCTTAGAAAACAAGGGCAGCATGCACATTGCCTAGCAGCCAAACCTCGTGATTGGCAGAGTGGGAAATAGTGGTGCCCGGCTCAAAGATGGCAACTGACTGTGCCACTTTGAATGCATGACACTCTCCACATTCATGGCAATAATCCATTCTCCTGAGTCAAGGTTCTTGTAAGGGATCACTACACCTCTTGCAAGTCTTCCATTCCAAGGATTTGGAATTTTTTCTGTTCTTGTTATCATTCCTCTTCACCCATATTTTAAAAAATGTAAAAATTTGGATCTATTCTGATTTCACTTTGTTGGCTATGGCTGAACTAATTCAAAGATCTCCTTTTACTTTTACATGCTATAGTTTGTAACAGAGGCTAGGTATTCAACAGTTACCTCATTGATTGTCTGTCATACCATGCAGGGAATACATCTTTTCTCATCTATTCAGAAATCATTTACTGGTGAGTTCTCTTTAAATGTACCTGATTACATCCCCTCACCTCAGATAATAATGCATTAATATATAATCAGAAAGATTCAAAGAAGATAGTCAATAAATATTGACTTCCAAGAGCATAAGTTTAAATTTGGGAAATCAGTATTATAAAAATTGAGCATTTTACATATTTATATAAAAATACCATATTGTTGGCAGATCTGTTGAAGTGAATGGTCCAAATTATAATTATATGCCAATTTCAGACAAATTTAAGACATTGAACAGTAGAAACAATATGTGAAAATTTTTGGAAAAATTGGATTGTAGTATGTCCCTGAAGGTGTTTGAAATTCCCAAGAAGGCAGACTACTACAACTGATGGTAGCAACAATCAAGATACACAGTTATTAGTACTGGTGTTGCAAGTTCACTTTGCCTGCTGATTTATTTTATATTTGTTGTGGGAACATGATTTCCTAATTCTTCCCTCTCAAGAGCAAATCACAGCTGTATTGAGAGTTAGGGTCTAGACTATTGCTAATATTTCTCTGAACACTAAAATGAGTTTTTGGGAAAGTTTATTTGCTATGGATAGGCTAAGTGGAAGTGAGAAAGAAGCAAGAGGAACCATTTTATGACAGTTATTTAAGCATTAGGAGATAAATGTATTTGTCATCTGTCATCACCACTTGAACAATTTACTTTGTCATATTGCTTACTGTTTAGTACTATATGAATCTGCCCATCTTAGGAACAATCCCTCTTCCACCATCCTTTGTATTCTACTCACTAATCTTTGTGTTTATTACACCTTCTCAGGGCAGCCTCTACTTGAAGCATGTCAAAAATAAAAAAGTGTTTTTGCATGTGCTAATTTAATCTCATTTTAACAGTGTAACAGGATTTGTGTTTATGTTCTGTCCTTTTTCCCTACCAAGAGATAATTTATTTTGGTCATTTTGTAGACCACAACAGCTAGACAGATAATCCCACATAGGTTATTTATTATCTAAATCCAGTATGTAACAAATACATGAAAATTCACAGCACTGTTAACTGTATTCTTTTCTAGAAGAAGATGGGAAAGCTGGAGATGTTTTAGTGAAGCTCAGAGAATACCAAGACAAGCATTCCAGATCAGGTATATTCATCAACCACAGAAAAGTAATTAATGAAAGAAGTAATAATTATGGGAAAACATTTACTCCAGGCAAGAATCGTATTATTTCAAAAATATTATGTGAATATGAAACTGATGGAAAAGTTTTGAAAAATATTTCAGAATTAGTCATTAGAAAAATAAACCCTATAAAAGAGAAGTTTGGTGAGAGTAATGGATGGGAGAAATCACTCCTCAGTACTAAGCATGAGAAAATTCATCCTACAGCAAACCTCCATAAACAAACAGAGAGAAGTCTCAGTTATAAACAGGAGCTTATTCAACATCAGAAGAGCCAAACTCCAGAGCAGCTATTTGAGCACAACGAATGTGAAAAATCCTTCCTTATGAAAGATATGTTATTTACACATGTTAGACTTCACAGAGGTGGAAGACCATTTGAATACAATAAAGATGGAACAACTTTCATCCAAAAATCAAATATTGATGCCCACCCACAAACTCGTACAGAAAAGAAGCCCTATGCATACAGTAAATACGGGAAATTCTTCTGTAGGAAGTCTTTTTTTATAATGCATGAGAGATCTCAAACAGAGGAGAAACCTTTTCAGTGTCATCACTGTGGGAATAGCTTTAGAAGGAAGTCATACCTTATTGAACATCAGAGAATTCACACAGGTGAGAAACCTTATGTTTGTAGTCAATGTAGGAAGGCCTTTCGTCAGAAGACAGCCCTCACCCTTCATGAGAAAACACACATAGAAGGGAAGCCCTATATTTGTATTGATTGTGGGAAATCATTCCGCCAGAAGGCAACCCTCACTAGACATCACAAAACACATACAGGGGAGAAAGCCTATGAGTGTACTCAGTGTGGGAGTGCCTTTAGAAAGAAGTCATACCTTATTGATCATCAGAGAACTCACACAGGCGAGAAACCATATCAATGTAATGATTGTGGGAAGGCATTTATCCAGAAGACAACCCTTACTGTACATCAGAGAACTCATACAGGAGAGAAACCCTATGTTTGTATTGAATGTGGGAAATCCTTCTGCCAAAAGACAACTCTCACTCTCCATCAGAGAATTCATACAGGGGAAAAACCCTATATTTGTAATGAATGTGGAAAGTCCTTCCGCCAGAAGGCAATCCTCACTGTTCATCAGCGAATACATACAGGAGAGAAATCCAATGGATGTCATCAGTGTGGGAAAGCCTTTAGTAGGAAGTCAAACCTCATTCGCCATCAGAAAACTCACACAGGAGAGAAACCATATGAATGTAAAGAATGTCGGAAATTCTTCAGTTGTAAGTCAAACCTCATTGTCCATCAGAAAACTCACAAGGAGAAACTGGGAATTTAGTAAATGATATGACTTTTTTGGTAAAAACTTTTTTTAAGTCACAGTAAACCTACACACTATGTTTATAAGAATAATACTCCACAGTTTAAGGTACTGTACCACATATTTACCCACTCTTTGCAAGGCTATATAGCATAAAAAATGAGTTACTGGACAAATGGCAAAAGTCACTGAAAATGACCAGATTTTTTTTCGTAAAGTAGAAATAAACTTCCTCTGTCAGATTGCTATAAACATTTAACATTGCTTATTTCAATAATAAAAGGGTCTCTGGTGGTGCAGTGCCTAAGGCATTTGACTGTTAACCAGAAGG